CCTGAACTGCTTCTGTAAAGTAGCTTCTCCTTCCTTATGCCCATACACACACACACACACACACACACACACACACACACACACACACAATAAACCCGCTCCACACATAGTCCTTAACAAGAGTATCTGCACTTTTTACCCCGTGTAGCAGCTATTAACTTAAAAGAAGATTCCGCAGCCTTACCTGACCCCAGCAATACGGATGAGCGGCTGCTGTAAAGCTGCTTCCCCCTCCCTGTTCCCCCTCGTTCTAAGTGTGTCGAGTATTGCTCCCACATCTATCCTTGGCTTTTCCTGCACACTCCCTACCTCCATCCTCCTCCACTTCTGGTGTGGGAGACAGCAGGGCTCTCTGTAAAGGCGCATTCTTTCAAGCCCCCCTGCTGTGTGCTTTAGAAATGGAGATGAACAGAAGCTGTTTTTTTCCCTTCTCTTTTGTTTTTAATGAGTGGATTTTCTCAACTTAAGAGGATACATGTATGGATTAAAAAAAACAGAAATAAGAAAAACAATGTTTTAGCTAGTTAGGCAGAAGCAGCAGGGAGAGCTGACAAGATTTACATATGGTTTCATTACTTTAAAATGTTTATGTGAATTTAGGGCTGACAAATGGCAGTGCTGGAGTCTCAGGTTCTTTGTCTATTCCCATGAGAGGGAACAGCACAGTATGCAACTGTCCCCATTAATTTATTTGCTCCAGGCAGTTTGGGTGAAATCATCTTTCACCGTACCACTAGGTACAAGAGAGGTTAGTTCAATTCTTGGCTCTTAGCTGTGACAGCCAACCAATGCCAGTTGTTAGTGGCTTCTTGAGCTCCCCTGTGTACAAGGAGTGGGGACCACAGAGGCCACCGAATAGCCAAGTGATAAAATATTCAATCATTGGGTGGGATTTTCAAGTCTCACCAAAGGAGTTAGGGGCCCAACTCCCTACACTGAAACACAGTAGGAGCTCTTCACTTATCTCCTTGAGATGATTTCAGAAATTCCATCCACTAGTAACGTGATGTGAATTGTAACAAGGGTGGAAGCCTTCTATTCCATTTCCAGTCCCCCAGACTATGAAAGCCTGAGTTTGCTTAATATGTTCCTGTATTCAATAGAAAATGCACAGTTGCTCAGCACTATCACATACGTATGCTTTTTACCTTGTGAATGTTAGAAACCCTGTCTGCAGATGATGTTGTGCCACTGCCATAGGCGCTCTTTGACAATGCTGCAATCATCTTAATCCCATGGATTAAGCTAGGACTTTCCTGATTCATTCCTGCAAAGGATTCATTAGCAGAGCATTGTGATGCTGTTGTTTCTGTCTCTGACAACATCAGCGTTTCATGTGAATCAAGCAAATTCTGCGCATCAGCCAAGATGACTGCTTGTCCATCTGGCATCCCAGCTTCTGGAAGCCCTTCTGACCTTGGGCAGGGTGCAAGCAAACAAAGTGCAGTGTCTGGAGAATGTTCTAAGTCGGCAGCTTCACCATGACTTGCTGGTTCAGTGTGTATCTGGGGGTAAATGTCTCTGGAAGCCATGCTGTGAGTAGCACCTGGACTATTATTATTACTGATCGGCTGAACAGGTATTTTGAAAGCAACTTCATCACCTATTATATCATCCACAATGTCTTGAGTAGTATCTGCTGTTGATTTATGTCTTCCATACGTGCCTTCTTCAGCTATGCTTGAGGAATGTGCCAAAGCACCCTGTGATTGCTTAGATCTCAATGTCTTCCTTTCAAGTGGGTCGAAAGGCTCAGAAGAAGCAAGAGACAATACACTGTCAACTGACCCTCCTAGTCTATATTTGGAATATTTTAAGGATTCATCCTCATCCTCCTTACTGAGCAAAGTCTGCGAACTCCAGCTAGTTATCTGCCCCAGTGGCTCCCTCAGTCTTGGCTCCCTGGCTCCAGCAGCCATGCCAGATTGCTCTTTTTCTTTCAGAGCGGTATCATCTTCCTGGGCATCTCTGTTCCAGTCTGGAGAAGTCATCAGGTTGTCATCCTGAAGCTGAGCTCCTTCAGCATTCCTTGAGGTCCCATCCGATGCTGTGCTGGGCATTATGCTATTCATACTTGTTTAATTCCACGAGGTTTATTATGAACTTGCGATATCAAGGTAGCCAATCAGCAAAAGCTTTCTGCTCAGAATCCTGACAAAACCAAATATGATTGTGTTAAAGTCCTGGAATGTGCCATGGTGCATCTCAGCCATGTCTTATTTTCAATATACAAGTATAATACAAATGTGGGGAAAGGCAATGGATGTAGCAGCTAGCGAAAGAGACAGGGAGTCAGAATTCTTAGATATGGTTCCTGCTCTTCCCACTGACCTCTTATTTGACCTTCAGCAAGTCTCATAAGACTTCTGTGCTCCAGTTCACTTATGTGTTAAATGGATGTAGTCTGTAGATATGGGAAATCCCCCACTATTGTATGAGAGGAGACAACTCAGTTGCCATTGGTGAATTTAGCCCTTAACTTGCCTTGAGGTGAAAATCAAGATTTACCAATCCAAAGTGAAGCATAAATTGGTGTTTACTTTGATGACAAATCTTGAGATTCATCTAAAAGAATAAAAATATTTTCCTTTGAAATCAACACAGATGTAGGGCTGCATTCTGTAAAGTGTTGAGCTTCTTGGAGATGCTGAGATGGGGGATGAGGGTGATCATTCTCTCTCAGAATCAGGTCCTCATAGTCATATCACACAACTCTTTTCAGCAGCCATGAGCCAGGATATGAAAATATTTACTTCCCTCACAGATAATGTGTTATCGTTATAGGTATTTTTATGGCCTTCATCACTATAGTATCTGAGCAACTCACAACATTAACAAATATATCCACACAACATTCTTGAGAGGGAGGGAAGGATTATTATTTTACAGAGGGGAAACTGAGGCATGGAAAGATTAAGTGGCTTGACAAGGATGTATGTGGCAGGCTTGAGAACCGAATCCAGGTGGTTCATCATAAATATTAAGGACCAGATTCTGATAGTAGTGCTCACCCTGAGAACAGCTTACTTCATCAGTATAGTCCCATTGATTTCAATGAGAATACTCAGAGCAAGGTACTATACATCAGTAGCAAGGGTGTCAGAATCTGGCCCTAAATAATGACATCTTGTAACAGACACACTCTTTGTGATATGACCCCCTGATACACGATTCTCCAGAGGGAAATAATCACGGACCACAGACATTATTAACATAGCCAGAACGACTTCTGGAAAATTGCTACTGAGGATGAACAAGCTGAAAACTTCTGATGTAAGTAGATTTGATATATTTATGGAATAGTGACGTCTAATGGATTTATAAAGAAAGCAATCATCAAAATCCTTCAGTAAAATAGTTTGCATACAAATATTTGAACTTTTAAAATTCGGTTTTAATAAGTTCTGTACTAAAAAACAAACACCATTCCGCTCCTGAGATATTGTGGGCTATACCACAGTCTTGCAATCCAAGAATGAGGAGGCTCTAGAAAAACCATGTGATAGGCAGGCATGGTGCTGCCCACAGAGCAAGGAGAGCACAGCCACTGCACAAGCTCATTAAGTGCTGATATTTGGGCCCCAGTTCAACAAGATACTTAGCGTGTGTGTGTATTCCCATTTACTTCAATAGGACTAGTTGGATGTTTAAAGATAACCTCTTGCTCACATGCCTTCCTGAATCAGGACCTTGGAAACCTATCACCTAGCAACAATAGAATTTAAATTAAGCCTTTGTGATTCACATAGAGTACAAGTACAACTGTTTTATTATATGTCTCAAAGAAAAATGTTTTCTATTCCTTTTTATCTCTGAGTCCAAGCCTGGAAGGTGCTGAGACCCCTCAACTTCAATGATTTCTAGGAGTGTTGAGGGGCATTAGCACTTAGTAAGATTGGGCTCTTGATAGTAAGACACTAGTTCTCAAACTTTTGTATTGGTGACCCCTTTCAAATAGCAAGCATCTGAGTGTAACCCCCCCCTTATAAATTAAAAACACTTTTTTATATATTTAACACCATTATAAATGCTGGATGCAAAGCGGGGTTTGGGGTGGAGGCGGACAGCTCACAACCCCCATGTAATAACCTCGTGACCCCCTGAGGGGTCCCGACCCCCAGTTTGAGAACCCCTGAAATAAGAGAATCCATTGAAGGAAGCAAAACTGTGCAGCCATTGCACTCTTTAACAGGTATCAGGGGGTAGCCGTGTTAGTCTGTAGCTACAAAAACAACAAGGAGTCTGGTGGCACCTTAAAGACTAACAGATTTATTTGGGCATAAGCTTTCGTGAGTAAAAACCTCACTTTTTAACAGGGTAGTTCAATTGCTGTTCAGCTTGTTCTTTATTTTCTATCTTCTCCATAATCTGGTGGTATCTGAACACCTATTAGCTGTCAGATTAAATGTAACTATTTTCAATTTGATAAATTAGTGTAAATTAACATACCATATGATTATTACAACATTTATTGAGAATTAACTGTTACTGATCTGAGTCTATGGCAATTACTTCTTCATAAACTTTAAGAGCGTATTTTATGTGCATGCAATATCGGTTCAGCCTGGATTGAATGTGCATTTGGGAATCCTACTGTAAATTAAAGCAATTAATGAGTGTTATATAATGGAGAACGAAGACATATCAGACTGGAACACAGGTTTTTTGTTTTTCTTTTTGCAAAAAACCTAAATTTTAATATGGCAATAATCTGTGGGATAAAGTAACTCCAGCATTAGTGCAGCTTCTTAGTGCCAGCACATTCACATTGTGCTAAAACATCTTCAGTAAGCAGTGCAAAAGCAAAAAAACAACCAACCTTCAGCCCCAGGTTTATGTGACTCTGATTTAGGGTGATCATACATCCCGTTTTGGCCGGGACAGTCCCTTTTTTTAAGCCCTGTCCTGGCTGTGCCGACTTTACTGGCAAAAGTGGATTTGTCCCGTTCTTGCCAACTCATCAAGTCAAAGTGGAGTGCAGAGGAGGGCGAGCTAGCGGCCATGCCAGCCCTGGGGGCGGGGAGAAAGCGGGAGGCAGGGCTCAAGTGAGGGGCAGACAAGGCTTGAGTGAGCAGCGATGCTGGCTCCAGCCTTGGGGTGGGGGAGGGGGGGATGTCAGGCCTTGGGCGAGTGGCTTGGACCAGCTCCATGCTGGGGAGAGAAGCCCTCACGCTAGTCCAACGCAGTATCCCATTTTCCCTTTGGGAAATATGGTCACCCTACTCTGATTTTATAACCAGTGGTTAAGCCTTTGAGCTAGGTCTCAGGAGATCTGGTTTTCATTCCCAGATCTTCTACAGACTTCCTGCATCTCCTTCCTCTCCATTTTTTGTGTCTTGTGTATTCAGATTGTAAACTCTTTGGTAAAGGGGCTGTGTAAACGGTTCCTAGCAATAACAACAGTAACCCCATCTTAATAGCAAAACTTTATGCCAAGGAAAGTTGGATATTATTTTATTTAATAAGCATAACAACACTTTATATAGCACAAAATGGGATGCTGTCAAAGCAGTAGTTAAAGTGCCTTTATTCTCCCCTTCTTCTAATCAGAAAATAATTACCCAATTAGGTCTTCCAGTAAGGAATTTCTATTATTTTTTTAAAGTAGATAAAGAGTGGATCCTCAAAGATTCATAAGATATTAATTGTACAATTAAATTCTTCTCTCTGTGGGAGAAAATGATAAGCTCATGCGATGTAGTAAACAGTTCGCTGATTGGGGAAAAAAAGGGAACGGCAAATGACATGCTTTTCAAAACAAAAAGTGGATAAATAATAACCCAAAAACTGATTCAATAAGAGAAATTAAAGAACAGGAAGACTAAAAGATATTGTAGCTGAATTTGAAATTTACTGTAAAACTCTTTATTCCTATAAGTAGTTAGTTAAAAAACATTA